CTTCTAAATCGCACAGTGGTGGACCGCCAATCATCCAGATGGTGTGGATGGTATCGGGAGTTCTGCCGCGATGTGCGTTCGTGAAATTTGGCGGCTGGGATTAATCCGAACAATTCCTCAGAGCACTCCCCATGGTAGATGCGAAAGAAAATGCAAAGAGATGCAACATCTCTTCGCAGTGCCAATGAATCGAGCCGATCGGAAAGGGCTCGGTCGTCGACGATTCGAGCCGCTCTGCGCTGGATGCGGTCAAGTGGAAGGAGCTGGCACTGGGGAGCCCCTGCCCAGAGATGGGAACAGTATTCCATGTGAGGCCGAACCTGCGCCTTGTAAAGTTGCAGGCGGTGTGCCGGCATGAAATACTGTCCCGCTCTGCTGAGCACGCCAAGCTTTTTAGAGGCCAATTTGGCCTTCTCTTCCAAGTGACCACGAAACTGCACGTCACTCGATATGTCGACTCCGAGGATACCGATACTGGCTGAGGCAAGAAGGGGAGTGCCTTGAAACTGAGGAGATACGACAAAGGGGTTCTTTTTAGCGGTAAACGCGCAAACTTGTGTCTTCTGAGGATTAAACTGGACTAGATTTAGTCGCCCCCAATCCGAGACTTTGTCCAGCAAAGACTCGACTTCAGACACAAGTTTGTTCCGGTACTCGGCGACGTTTTCCCGAGAAATATTGGCCCGGCCGGTGTATAGAGCATCACCAGTGCTGTCATCCGCATAGCAATGAATGTTACCAGTTAGCAACATATCATTGATATGCAGAAGAAACAGCGTTGGTGATAGCACACAGCCTTGTGGAACACCAGCGTTAATAGGCTTGTAGTCAGAACATGCACCGTCTACAACGACCTTGATGCTCCGATCTGCAAGAAAGCTGGTGATCCAATTGCACAATTTCTCGGGAAGCCCATAGGAAGGCAGCTTCGAAAGAAGCGCTTTGTGCCAAACCCGATCAAAGGCCTTCGCAATGTCCAGACTAACGGCCAACGCCTCCCCCTTGGACTCTACTGCCTTCGCCCATCTATGGGTCAGGTAGACCAGAAGATCACCAGCTGATCGACACCGACGAAAACCGTATTGGCGGTCACTAATCAGCTGGTGATCCTCAAGGTACCGGATGAGCTGGCAGTTAATAATGGATTCCATTATTTTGGAGAACAAGGAGGTGATCGCGATAGGCCTATAGTTGGACGGGTCTGAGCGGTCGCCTTTTTTAGGGATCGGGTGGACAAAAGCTGTCTTCCATGAATTCGGGACTACGCCTTGGGAGTAGGAGTACCGGAAAAGACGCGTTAGGACCGGTGCCAACTCCGGAGCACACGTCCTCAGCACAATTGGGGGGATTCCGTCAGGCCCACTCGACTTCTGGATGTCCAGGGAGAGAAGTGCTTTGCGAACTGAGCGCTGTGAGAATAGCACATCCGGCATGGAGCACTCACACCGCGGGATGGTCGGCGGTATTTTCCCCCCGTCATCAAGAGTCGAGTTGGACGCAAAAAGGGAGCCTAAAAGGTCGGCTTTGTCTTTTGCGTCTTGGGCCAGTGAGTCGTCCTCCCTGTGCAGAGATGGTAGTGATGGCTTACAGAAATTCCCTTGGACAGCCTTGGCGAGAGACCAGAATGCACGGGTTCCCGAAGGAAGGCGAACTAGTTTCTCGCCAATTCTGCCTATGTGCTCTGACTTTGCCTTGGCAATAACTCTTTTGAAGGACCTGGAGGCGAAGTTATACTTCTTTTTAAGTGTGCTGGTGTTTACATCCCGAGTCACCGAAGCCGCAGCCCAGGCTTGATAACACTCCTGCTTACTGCGCAATGCAGTCTTACAGGAGCGACCAAACCAAGGCTGAGATCTGCCTCCGATGGGTACCACAGATGATGGAATAAATAGTTCCATTCCCTGTAGCACCACATCAGTGACAGAGTCAGCAACAGCACTGGGATCATCCGGCGAGAAGCAAACCCGCCCCCATGGGTAGGATGCAAAGAAAGACCGCATTCCGTCCCAATCCGCCGACCTGTAATGCCAAACACGGCGGCAACCTGCAGTACGCAACCGCGAAGGGAGCGTGAGTGGCACCATACTCCGGATCAGACAATGGTCCGAAGAGCCGAGAGGGGCATCGACGGAAACCTGATATCCGTCCGGATGAGAGGTCAGCAGAAGGTCCAACAGGGAAGGTGTATGATCCTCCACATCTGGAATCCGCGTAGGCAAAGTAACCACTTGTGTCAGACCATATGCCAAGGCAAAGTCATAAACAGATCTCCCCGCATGATCGGTTAAACGTGAACCGAGCCATTCGGCATGGTGGGCGTTAAAATCGCCAAGGATCACGATCTCTGCGGATGGGACCTGTTGTAGCAAGGAATCTGTAGCCATTTGGACGTGGTCGATGAGTCGGTCTGTTTCGGCATTACCGCTATGGGACCTATAGAGGCACCCGTAGACGCGCGGATGGTCGTCGCTGTCTACGCGTAGCCAAAGGATGGACAGGTCCGAACCTTCAAGACTGCCGAGGCGTCGAGAACAGATGTCCTCTCTAACATACACGCAAACTCCAGCCCGAGGCACAAAGGAGTGCTCCAATTTGTACCCCGGGTAGGAGAGATACGAAATATCAGTAGGAGAGGAAACCTGCGTCTCGGTCAAAAAGAGCAAGGCCGGCTTCGCCGTCTCGAGATGGTAGTGGACGGCGTTTAGGTTAGAGTGAAGTCCCCTGATGTTGCAGAAATTCACGGATAGCGTGGCAGGGGTCGCCTTGGTATTGTTGCTCAGCTTGCCCCGAGCAGTTTTGTTTTTGAGCGGAATTTTGCCCCCCCCAGAATACGCGGGGCAGCCTGAGCACCCACGCTCAGGATTGGAATAACATGGTCGTGGATGCTCAGCGAGGGATTCTCCAGGGGTACTGGTACCCTCCTGGGGTAGTCTATTGTCTAATTCCGCTGCCATGTTGATGGGGGGGGGGGGGGGGGGGGAATTGGGCCTCCGGCCAGAAAGATAGAAAGATTTGATTAAATGTGTTTGTTTTGCTACTTGATCTGGCGTGCATCTTTTAAAAACTATTAATTTACGTCTTTTCATCTAAGTAATCGGTGCAAATATTGTTAAAGATGACGTCGCAACGGGGTTAAATAAGTCTTTTGAATTTGAATACGTCTTTTCTAAATATAAAATATCGATATTATTCAAAATTAAAATAATTTAGTAGATGCGCCTTTTTGTCTTGAGTCGAATGTGTTATATTTAACTCATTTTTAAAAATTGTTAGATGCGTCCTTTTTCCTTATGATGGCAGTATTGCAGGGGTTCCTTTTCAATTCTTAATAAATTTTACTTGATTCATGCCATAAAGTCTTTGAAATTAATAATTTTTTTGCTAAACAGAAAAATAAGGTGACCCAATGAGGGCTTTTCCACGACTTTTTCTGCCACCAGGGCGGCGCCACTAGATAGTGAGGTATAATATTTGACAGATTTCATAGCGAGGAAGTTAATTTGTTCGGAAACTGTAAAGGTTATTCTTTCTTTCCGCACTATTAGCTATATTTTATATTAATAAGATTAAAAATAAATAAACCACACCACAGATATTAAAAAATAGAAAATTAAAAAAAAGTTATAAATGTGCAAAAAAAAAAGAACAAACCACTTACGCATTGTTTTGTGTATTTATTTAATGCTCTAGAAACTGATAAACTTTTATTAAAAACCAACTTCTCAACTAAATTACACTGTGTAACAAAAAACTTTACCTCAGTGTCAACTAGCGAAGTCTGGTGAGCAGAAACTTATTAACCTTCATTGGCTGCTACTTTCCCTTCTAGAATATCCACATTCTTCTTTTCTGTACCGCATCTTTTTTAATCCGTTAATCCCAAATTCCTTCATATACAATCCAATTTATCACAGCTCTGCACAATTCTACTCCTGAACACCACAAAAATGACACGTTACACAGTTTACTGCCTGTATCTATCAAATTCCTGCATGTCTTTCCGGGCTATCTCACCGTCTACTGGAGGGTGATCCTGCATTTCGCTTAGTGTTCAGTTGTTGATTATTCAAACTTATTCACAGTTTTTAAAACTTGCTGTAGGTAATCATACTGACATGTCTATTAAATATTTGGCACTGGTAATGATAAATATCTGTCATCAGTATGTACATCATCTTAATTATTATTTATTATATTAATTTTTGTATTTATATAATAGGAATAATTGACAAAATTATCTTAGTTATGTGGCAATACTGACACCTTTTAAAAAGTTATTTATTTAATGCTCATACTCATGCTTTTATTGATTATTACTGTTAGTATAGTAAGAATATGATTTATTTTCTATTTTGCTGCTTAAAGTAATTATATGTGTCTTCTATTTTTGCTCAAGTTTGACCTTAGGTGTGACATAAGTGAGATGGGAAGTGAAAGCATGAGTAGAAAATTGACACTAAATAAAGATTCTATGATGGTTCTTACTATCAAAATAATTATTAAAAGAATAAAAGCTAAAGTTACAGCCTATATACACGACCCACTGCTGGGCACAGGTCTCTTCTCATTCCTGAGAGGGTTTTAAAGCAAGGAAAGGCCCGCCGCGCTGCCCCAATGCTTGTTGGCGAACTTCACATGTCTTCGAAATATATTTTTTTTCTTATTTGTCAAACCTGTTTTCACGATGTTTTCCTTCACCGCCGAGCACGTGATAAATCAGCACTTAAAATTGCAATTAACAATTTCATTGGTGCCGGCGGGGATCGAACCCGGGTTTCTCGCGTACTGTGAAACTTATAGTGAGCGCTAACCATCTGAGCTACCACGGCTCTATTAAAAGAATATTTTGACATAATTATAAAGCATTTCTTTTTTTTGCATTTTTCATAATAGCAGAATTTATATCCCTTATAATGATCATTACTATAGTCAACAAAAATGGTTAATGTACATATTACTAAATTGTTATGTATAAATTATTTGTCATTTACATTGTGCAGAACTTGGCAACTTTGAGCCTAAAGTCAGGAGATCAGTTAATGGTCCAGGGGAAGAAGGAAAACCATACCATATGTCTCAGGATCGTGCCAACGATATCACAGAGTCTGAGAGTGAATATGGAATGAACATTGCGGCATCAGATGATATAGCTATGAACAGGTAAGCTAACTAAGTCTCTTATAATTTATGGCATTAGTATTGTGATATGATCTCTATACATTCTTGATTAGGCTTCTAATATTTTTTACAGCATATGCTACAGAGCTAAGTTTGCTAGCTAGTTTTTGATATACAGGATTTATTTTTAAAGAGAAGCCAAATTTTAAACTTAAGTTCAAATATATAAATAATGATATACCGTTATTGCAGTTTTTGACACTACGAGGAAATAAGGTTTCTACGTTTATTTGAAATTATCCCAAATTGAATGTGAACTATGGGCAACAACGTTTTTGCCCACCGATCGACCCTTACAAAATGTGTGCATGCACAGTAAAATCAGTTAATAACCACTCATTTTTAATTTATAAGATAAAAAGGACAGTGTGTGATTTTTTTTTTACTAATATTTCTTCACAATATGCCTATATTACTTGTTCTGAATCTTTGCTACAAATTTGGCCGGTTATTATTTTTTTTTTTTAAAAAACGTTACCCACACACTAGGATTTTCTCATGTATCGTGGAGGCAGTTTACAAACACAAATTTCACAAGTACAAACATTCAGACCCGGAACAATTATTTGTAGGCCATACAAATACTTGTTCCGTGCGGGATTCGAACCCGCGCCCCCCAGTGCAGCAACTCATTGCTAAGCCACTGCGCCACGGAGCCGTCAATATTGCAAAATAACTTTGTATAGAGGCCCCACCAAAGCTTTGTGTTAATTGTAATTTCGAGAAAAATTGTGGATTATAGGATACTCAGCTTGTCCCCATTTAAAAATCACACTGGTATTCACGTGTTTAACATGGGATGTTGTGAATCTAATACATTTTGTTTTACTATAAGAAAGCGATTTTTATTACGGGAAAATAACTTACCATTAAAAATGTAAACACTGTCAGAACACCACTGATCACTGGTGTTCTTATTTTATAGTGATTACGTAGTAGTTTAGTTTACAACGGGCTATTTTCCGCAACTCCACGTCTAAGCGCGTGTTTTGTGCGTGGGCAGGAATATCATGATTATTTGAGCCATAAAATCTCCTTAAAGGAGCTCAGCCGTCCTTTGATGTTGCAAGCAACATCAGACAGTGCCATCAACACGTTGGCCGTCGTTATCTCCTCCCTCATAGGTATAGGGGACTGTCTGTAACACCTATGGTAAATAGATGTTTGTTAGCCGTGTCTTGACATAGCACTTGTTGCTATCCTGATCTGTGGTTTGTTTATTCTCATTAAGATCTTGGTTAAACGACTGTTTATTGCTGGCGGGGCCTCCCTAGCTCAGCTTTAAAAAAATCCAGTAGATTGTAGGCATACAGTCTACTGGATTTTTTCAAAGCTGGGTATGTTGATTAGTGAAGTGCTTACGTGCAAGTGAACAAACGTTACCAAAACGTTATGATAGGAGCAACAGACACAAGCTACTTTACCAGCTGAAAACTATTAAATCTAACGGGAGTATCCATAAAATAAATCATTAAAAAATTAAAAATCCGAACGCAAAAAAGACAATTTAAAAATAATGTTCTAAAAAGACCGAAACAAGATTGAGAATTGAAACAAAATTAAAATGTTGTGCTCTAATCATCTGTATGGCGATGATCTACAACTATATGCACACGCGGAACAATCCAATGTTAATAATTCAATAGCGTTCCCGCGGTCCTAGCGGGTCCCGCCTGTTACTAAACTTAATGTATTGTTTATAGATTATTTTAATTTTGTTTTCTAATCTCAATCTTGTTTCGGTCTTTTTAGTGCATTATTTTTAAATTGTCTTTTTTGCAGTCGGGTTTTTAATTTATTTATGATTTGTTTTCTTTTATTTTTGTCCCCACACACTTATGAACTAAATTTCATATGATAGCATGAGGTTTGACACAAAACAAACATGCCCTATTTTTACACTATCAAAAATATTTTTAAACCACTTTATTATTCCTAATTAAATTTAAACATATAACTTAGGTATATATATTTTTGTAATTCTCTTTTAATTTCCTTTATTTTAATACCCTACTCAAATAATACGCCCAAAAATTCGCCATTTTGTTCTTTTTTTTTTCAAACAGTTATCTAAGAACACGAGTTTTTAAGACTAATATAACGATACCTTAACTGTCGAAATCCATCTAGCCGTTTGGAAGATACGGGGTAATAAAGAAATTTACGAACATACATACTTACCAGATACGCGCGAAAAATATAACCCTTCCTCGGCAGTCGGGTAATAAAGGAGAATGTAGTTCTCACTGGTCGCTCTACCATCATCAATTTATTGTACTGCAAATGCTTAGTAAAATTTTTGATAAAATATTCCAGATCATATTATGTTCAATTTTATTTAATGTAGAGATTGCTCTACTGCTTGCTGCGTTGTCTACTGTTTTTCATTTGACTGTCTGTTTTTTAAACAGTTGACGCGAAGCTTCGGTGGGCCCGCCATATATGTAATCTAGCTAGCAAATTAGTTCTGCATCATAATAATATGCTGTAGAAAAGATTAGAAGCTTGATCAAAACCGTACAGGGAACGTATCAAAATGCATGGGTCATTGAGTAATTGAAAAAAACAATATAGGAATATATGTGACAGCAAAAAATTAAATAGAGATTAAGATTTAGCATATATCTATACAACCAAAACATTTTTATTTAACGGAGGATTTTCTTGCAGAACATTATAATTTTTTTTTTTCAATTGATACAACTTCTATATTAGATAGTAAAATATGGATAAAGAGGACACCAGTGTTCAGTGGCGCTATTTTTGTCTCTATCTATTTCTGACGCAGTCTTCCTATTTTGCCGTGGTATATTAATTATATTCCCACAATAACAGCCTTTGTCCATCTTAATTCTATCTCTGTGGAAAAAACCAACACCTAAACTTTCACATTTATTATAATACTATAAATGTATTAAATATACTCGTATTATAAATACGACTCCCCACTTCGCCGCGGCAAGAAAGCCCACATCAGTGCACACGTAGCGCTTATTAAAATCGTTGCTTCTTAAAACTTTAATAACTTTATATTATTCAGTGACTAAATGAAGATATCCAAGTGTCTGAAATATAAAACTTAGAAAACCTAATTGAAATCTATACAGTAGTTTTTCCGTGATGCGCTCACAACTGCAAACTATCATATTATATAGTAGATACTAGTTAGGAAGTTAGAAATACTTAGGATAAGTAATTAGTACGCGAGGAAACCAATTTTAAGTGCTGATAGGTACTTGAAGGTGAAGGAAAACATGGTAAACATGATGGTAAGTGGATACTGTGGCCCATAGACATCTACATTTATCCTCGATTGAGAATCAATATGCAGATACGTTTTTAGACCCCGGAGTCTAAGATGTAATGCCTCGTTTCCAGTAAAAAGCACGACAAACTAATTGCTCCATCAGTAATGAGAGGAAGTCTGTGCCCAGCTGTGGGGTATATATAGCTATATAATTCTTGCAATCCATGTTGCGGCAATGTGAACTGACAGAACGGTTTAGTTGGGAGCGAGCGTCCGCCCAAATATTAAATAAATTTCATTGTTTATTAATTATTTCCCGAAATAATAAAATTACACAATAATATATCTATAAATATATTATTATGTACTTTTATAATTATTTAGATGGTCCGTGATAGCTTAGGGGCTAAGTGCTCGCGATAACTTTCATAGTACGAGAGAAATCGTGGTTTGATCCTCGCCGGCATCAATGAAATTGATAATTGCAATTTTAAGTGCAGATTTCAGCAGCTTGACTAATTGCTTACAGCAATGAGACGTAAACATAGGCTGTAAAAAGAAATATTTACATATTTATAAATAATATAATGTCATTATTCTTTATTTTCGTAAAGCTCACGCGCGTTTGTGATATGCAAAAACTATACATGACTGCGCCTTTTATCTCTTATTCATAAAATTATATAGTAATGAATCGAAACAACATACAAAACAAACTATATATTAAAACTGATCGATATAGAAACTATACGATATCGGTTTATCGCTTTAATCAATAATTATTCGTACTATTTTATCCTTTTTTTATCAGTCGTGATTGTATTTTCATGTAGTTTTAATGGTACAATTTCGTATTAATATTTAATAGTTTGTATTGTTAATATTAATTATAATTCCCTTTCTGAAAAATAACAGCGAGATAATTCCGTTTTAACATGCTTTTATTAATGCTTTACCTGGGTGTATTGTATAAATGTAATGGAATTTTTTAATTCACTATTTACCTGCTTCAGGAAGGCTAAACGATTAGATATTTCGCAGACGTGTTGTGAACCGATGACAATACAATAATTGTTGTGTGGCTTTTTTTATAGTATCGGGTGACAAACAAGCACACAGTCCACCTGATGGTAAGTGGTTGCTGTGGCCCATAGACATCCACATTTATCCGTCGTTTGCGAATCAAAATGCAGATGCGTCGTCATCGGTCAATGCCTCTTTTCCAGTAAAATGGGTCTCCGGTTCTCTACACTCACCGTACGAAACACAGCAGTGAAACTGCTATTTTACGCTGGTATTCTGTGAGAGTGTGGTACTTCCCCGGTCGAGCCGACGTAAATCATCAACATTGCATATTTTTATAGAATTAGTGCCCATTCGTACTACAATCAATATATAGCTGCAGCGTCTCTACGATGTATAAAAAATATACAACTGTAGCACGAATGGGTCGGCTCGACTGGAGAGGGACCACCCTCTCAGAGAATACCAGCGTCCAGCGCTAAACAGCAGCTTAATGCTGTCGTGTTTCATATGGTGAGTGTAGAGAACCGGAGACCCTTTTTACTGGAAACGTGGCATTCCATCTTAGTCTTCAGGGGTGGCAGCCCATCTTCATTTTTATTCTTAAACGAGGATAGGTGTAGATGCCTATGGGCCACTGCATCCTCTTACCAGAAGGTGGACTGTGTGCTCGTTTGTCACCCATACTCTATAAAATATATATATATATATA